TACTCGCCGAGTCCACTTTGGAACTCGCCGAGTCCATGACTCAGAAACCCAAAAATCGAATTTTGCAGGTTTGTTTCAGTTAATCAAGCAACAATTTAAAGAAAACCAAGCTAGGCTCTGATACCACTGATGGGTTTTAGCCATAAGAACTTTCCTATGTGCGCATGCAAAACCCTAATGCTCGGATCTAGGCTTTCTAATTAAACATGCTTTGAATCCAAGACTTCTAATGGCTAATTAGGTTAAATAACAACATTGAAATAGATCTAGAATCATACCTTTGGATTCCTTGTTGATCTTGTTGTCTTGGAGCTTCTAGAGTCACAAATGTCACTCCTCTAATGGCTTACAAACACCAATAGCAAGAAAGATGATTTAGGAGAGAGGAGAGGGGAGGAATTCGGCCAGAGTATCTCTACTTTATGGTGTATCGAATTCCCTCACCCCTAGGGTCTATTTATACTTGTAGACTCCTTAAGGATTACAACTTTAACCCTAATTGGATAACTTAGACTTTAAGTTGATCCATATCCTTTCCTTGATAACCCTATGGACGATTTTGGCTTATCCAAGCCCTAGAAATCGTCCATCCTATCATGGATAAAGATTTATAGTCTAAAGTGTAACTATCAAACAATTGACAGTTTATACCCTCTTATTTAATTAATCTTTTTAAGTCACCAAATTAATTCCAATTAATCTATGACTTATATTAATCAAATAACCATATATTATTCCTTATAATATTTACTCTCTCTTAACAAATCATCCATCAAATTGCTATGGTGAAGGCAACCCAAAAGGACCATGCACAACCGGGTCAAATACTTGCCTAATATAGTTGCAGCCTTAGACACTATTCCAACATGTGCCATGTGTCAGCCTTAGAACTTAACCCATAATTTAATTATCTTCTAGATTCCATAACTTTCGCGTACGAGCTCCGTTTTTTACGTTCTTTACATGCACGCCTATATAGCGATGTGATTTACAACTTTTGTATAGACTCCGTTGGCTAATTTGACTTTATTTTTAAAGTTATATTTTAACATGCTTAGATTGTTAAAGTTCATTAAAAATTTTTAACTTTATCATCCGATGTCTCTTGTTGTCTGTTTTTATTTCGTTGAGCTCCTATTAATGAGATCTTTAATTCTAGTTTGGGTTGTATCGGCTAAAAATCGACCGATCTAAAATTCGATTTCCGGGCTGTGTACTACTATACAAAATCTTAGAAAAAATCATAACTTCCTCAAACGAAGTTAGATTTGAACGTTCTCTATATGCATGCTCTCGGTTTAACATATACTATGACTTTCGTTTAGATTGACAAGGCTAAAAAGTATTTTATCGCAAACTCAGTTTTTATGATACACATCGTCGTGCTGGTTTTGTCGCAAAACTTCGATGAGTCATAACTTCTTCGTTATAAGTCGAATTTCAGCGTTCTTTATATGTACGAAACCCTTGTGACATATACTATACTTTGGTTAAGATTATTTATTCTAAATAATCTTCTATCAAAAAGTCATTTTTAACGTTTGATATCTCTAAATTGACTAGCCCGAATCTACGGATGTTACAGTTAATGATGATATAAATGCATTAAAACATGCGAAATTAAGTTAGAATGTAGCTTAATCATTAAAAATGGAGCTTGAAGTATTAAAATCAAATTTAACAACATAGGTTGTTATTTGTAGCTAAAACATTGATTCGTATGATTCACATGAGTCATGTGAAATCCCTTTGTAAAAAACATGGGGCATGTACTCCTCTGTCTCCAACCTTAAGAATCTTGAAATTTGATCTCTACGCATCAGGAAGGCATCTAGTTACATCCATCGATGCCTTAGAGATAAACAATGCATGTTTGAGGGTTTATAAGAGTTAATCAAGTGTACCAACCTAATTAGCGTATCATTAAGTGGATTAGTGCTAATTATATGTCTTATTATAGTTTTATTCAAGGTTGGAAAGCTCGCTACTCGATACCTGCTCGGCCGAGGGGGGAGTAACGAGTACTCGGATTACTCGGGGAGTACTCGGATACGGTAAATCATGTAGAAAAATATTTTAAAGGAAATTATACATGTCAAAGATCATAATTTAAAATATTAGTTAATGTAAATTCATTACAAAATTAGGTGAATACCAACAAAAGATACATTTTCAAATGTTAAATTGTTTCAAAAATAGACATCAGTCTTTAATATTATATATTTAGATTAATCATTTAATCTTCCTCTTCCAATGTACCTCCGATTGTTCGTTGATGTTAACTCCATCCTATTCATATTCAACATCTTTATTTAGTTCTTCCTCATCCTCCGACAAATTTTTTTCCTCATCAAGTTCTCTCAATCTAGAACTTCTACGATTTTGTAAAAACTCCTCCTCACCCATAGCTTCATCGGGCTCAACTTCATCCAACAATACATCATTTTCGACAATCCATTCTTGAGCCTCACATGTATCTTTTGCTAAAAGTACTTCCATATCCTTAGTATTCATTTTCTTGTTATTTTCCATCAAATTTGCATTAAATTGCATTAAATTGCATTATTGTGTATAAAATAAATTACAATAATTGTCACTGTAATTTACAAAAATGATCCATGTTTATACTTCTTTTTACAGAAACGATCCATATGTTTAAAAAAAATTACAAAAATTAGTCCATGCCTAATAAAATTTTTATAAATTACGACTCCCGCAAAATGAGATAATATAACCATAGTTTTTACTAAAAATGAAACAATTTGTAATCATTTTGATGGATGACATTGGCCTTTTTTTATTTATATTTAAATTTGAGTAACTTAAATTTATAAAACATACACAAAAAGATTTATAACAAAATGTAACATAGTGTTTTAATTATGATAAAAAAAACTACAAATAATGAGTAATCTAATGTGGTGTTTATTTTTTAGCAAAAATCATTGTTGACCTTTTATGTCTGCGGACGGAAAGACATATGAGAAAAACAATGTTTATTTTTTAGAAGACAAAAGCATAAAAAATGCTTTTAAGTTTTTTAGCTTATACAACCCATAATAAAACGATTATTAAAGTTATTGTTCTTGACTTTGCTAATTTTAAGAGTTATATAATGTTTGAGAGTAATTAGAAAATTTGAGAAACAATAGAAAACTTAAAAAATGATCGAAATGCTAGAAAACTTGTGTCCATGTGTTTATTTGCTATTACGAAAGTTTGGATCTCTTGAAAAATAAAATGAAATATGAGACAGGTTCTTGGTAATAACGAACTGGATTTTTCTAAACAGCATGATGAATTTGGTTGTTTGGAGTTTAATTATCAAATTAGATCACTTTTATATCCATATACGTGTTCTTGTGCTAATCTTTGTTTTTTTAAGCTGTTTTGGTTAAAATGGTAAAATGGTAATTTATGATTATTATTATTATTATTATTTTAATATCATTTTTACCAAACACCACATTATCTTTAAAATTTTCATGTTTTTTTAATGATTCGAACCTATTAATGATTTAACACTTAACTATGTGGGAACTTAAGTAATTTAACAATTATAAATGAGCTTTTCAAAGAAAATATATATATTTTTTTTCAGTTTTTGAAAAATAACAACTTTCTTCCGAATGCTCTCATTTCGAGTTGTTTTTCAAATTTCAAGTTATTTTTTTTGCAATTTTTTCAAAGAAATCTTTGCACTTATATCCGAAATGTTTAATTTGAACTGTTTAATATCACCACTTTTCAGTCAAATGTTTAATTTTGTGTCACAATATTATATATATTTCATATTTAATATGTTTGTTCAACTTGTTGTTAGATCTTAGTAAAAACAAAAAAAAAAAATCTTGAAATTTCGGAATTGTTTATTAGAGTTCGGATATGTTTTTAAAATTGTAGAATCATTATTTCGTCAAAGCATGTGATATGGGCCAAAAACGAGAAGCAACAGACTAATGTGGTATGCCTGAACGGCGTCATGACGGCGAACCCCCCCACCCCCAACTCGTTGAAGCTCATTATGGTGAATCTTGTGGTAACGAGGACGAGATAAAACAATAAAGATGATTGACTATCTCCTTCATCAACCAATCAAATAATTTTCTTTATTTTTTTCTCTACCTCTTAACATGATAAAACATCTGGAACACCATTTTCCCCTTGGTGTTATGGTTGTGTTATGGATGAGCTGACACCAATTCGATGTTACATCCCGTTACCCACACAATGCTCTCAGAATTCCGAGATGGCAGTCCAATATCCGGAATGTTAGTCCAGAATTCCGTAATGTCAATCCGAAATATAATTTTTTGTTAGAAAAAATGAATTTTCTCAAAATCCGGACATGATTATTTTTCCGAAATTGGATCATTTTCTTTAAACATACATTTACCTTATCGTTGGATTACTAAATTTCATGGATTATTTAAGATAAACCGGTTATTGGATCCAAGGGCCCTTATGGAAATTAAGAAGCAAACCACAAAGCCATTCCCTCTCCCTGCTGTTGCAGGGATTCGAACGTCTTCTTCTCATCTTGTGATAGGACTAAAGCGATACCAGTCTCGATTCTCAAAGGTTGGGGGTTAATTATTTTTGAATTCCGATTTCAACCTGCATCCCCTTCGTCTCTTTCCATTCGCGTAACATGCAAAACTCTTCCGTTAAATTTTATCGTAGATTTCAATGATTTGCCCACATTGACACGCAACATTCTTGATACTCTTCATCACGTCACCCTTCTAGCCGAAATCATCATGATTCTTCATAGAAATTGGATAATCTGAACTCCCATATTCGTAATTTTCCTCAGGTTTTTTCAATCAGACCCAGTTCAACGAATTATTGATTAAATCATTCGATTTTTTCGTGTTTGTTCGACTTTGGTGCATTTTCATTAGACAGAGATGTCCGTTTCTTCGTAGTGCACAACAACTGTATGATAAATTGCCGGAACGCTAAATTTGAATTTGCCTTGAGCCATCCATCTCTCATCAATGGGGGAAACCGGTGGCAATGACGACGATGGGAAAACCTCTGCTAATATGTTACGGAATACGCCGTCGAACATTAGAAGGTTGGCTGATGAGATACAGCAGTGTGAGGGGCGACAAAAGTATCTTGCGCAGACCAAAAGCCCATCGGACGGGGGTGATGTTAGGTGGTACTTCCGTAAGGTTGCCATGGAGAAAAATGGTGAGTTCTTCGTTGAAATTATCTTACTTTACTTTACATAGGTATTTGTGATGTTATATGTTTAAGGTAAAATGCAATAAACAGTAATAAAACCATTTGTACTTTATAAACTGTAGCTAGTTCTTGAAAACCTCATAAAAACTCTTCAACCTTAAACAATCTCTTCAGTTATTTAGGATCATGATTATCAAACTATGAAGAGCCAATGAAGATGTTAGTGATCAGAAATTATGAGTGCAAAATGATTATTATCCAATTCTTTAGGAGGTTTCCATGGTTTCATTTTTGGCACATGGTTAAGGATGAACAGTATTGTTGTTGATTTACATTGTTTGGCGAATCCTCCTTACACTCATTCAACTTCTTTACTCTTTCGTTTTCTTCTATTGCTTATGTACAGAAGTAGCTGCTAATGTCCCACGTGCAGAAACAGTAGAAAAGAGTGATTATTTTCGATTTGGTATGCGAGATTCTCTTGCAATAGAGGCATCATTCTTACAGGTAACATCTATTCTGTTTCAAATTACCAAATAAAATCTTTAAACTCATCAAATTAACATATACAGCAAGAAGATGAATTGCTCTCTATTTGGTGGAAAGAATTAGCCGAGTGTAGCGAAGGTCCAAAAGGATCTCCCGCTTCAGTTTCCAAATCCGACCCTCTCCTACAACCATTTTCTCTAGAAACTTCTCGATCAATCAAACCAGATGATGAAGACAGAGTCGGTGTCCCCGTGAAAGGAGGCTTATATGAGGTAACGTTATAATTAATAAAACATTTTTTACAAAAATTCTTCAACCCAATTTTATATTCCATTTGTTTATTGCAGGTAGACTTGGTGAAGCGACATTGTTTCCCTGTTTATTGGGATGGAGATAATCGTAGGGTTTTAAGAGGCCATTGGTTTGCACGTAAAGGGGGCCTTGATTGGCTTCCTATTCGTGAGGATGTTTCTGAACAGTTGGAGTTTGCTTATCGTGGAAGGGTAAGTAATCAATCACACGTGTCTTTTTTTTTTTTTTTTTAAATTAATTTTTTTGGGGTGTTTTGTATTAGATTTGGCGTCGAAGAACATTTCAACCATCTGGACTATTTGCAGCACGAGTTGACATGCAAGGGTCAAGTCCAGTATGTTTTGTGTTTGATACTAATTATATTGAGAATAAAATGTGTGTCAACTTGAAATTAACCATGGTAAAAGTTATTAGGCTTAAAATTAACTTGTTGTATTCAGGGGTTGCATGCTCTTTTTACTGGAGAAGATGACACGTGGGAGGCATGGCTAAATGTAGATGCTTCTGGATTCTCTAGTATTGTTAAGTTAGGTGGGATTGGGATTAAGTTAAGGCGTGGGTATGCTCCCTCTCGTTCACCAAAGCCAACTCAGGTAAAACTAAACTTTATTTAATTTTGTAACTTTTTTCACCCGTAAATAATGATATATCAACTTAAAAATTTATTGGTAGGATGAGTTACGTCAACAAAAGGAGGAAGACATGGACGATTATTGTTCACAGGTAATGCAAAAAAAAAAAAAAAAAGTTAATAGCAAAAGTCAAGGAAACAAGACTTTGATCTTGAATTTGAATATTTATAGGTTCCAGTTGGACATGTAGTTTTTATGGTTCATGGTATTGGTCAAAGGTTGGAGAAAGCTAATTTAGTTGATGATGTTGGCATATTCCGCCATGTCACCTCTAGCCTCGCAGAACAACACTTGACGCCTTACCAACGTGGAACTCAAAGAGTTCTTTTTATTCCATGCCAGGTAATCATTTTTTTTTTTTTGGGTCTATACTTTATCCATAATGTTTTTGGGGTTGTTATACAGTGGAGGAAAAATTTGAAGCTTAGTGGTGAATCAGCTGTAGAAAAATGTACATTACCTGGTGTACGTGGATTGAGGGTAACTTTAAGCGCAACTGTTCACGATGTGTTGTACTACATGAGCCCAATCTACTGCCAAGATATTATTGACTCGGTGAAATTTTTTAATTGAAATTAAAAAATAAAAATTAAATATCTGATGTCACCTTTATATTTAACGTTACATTCCGCTTTTTCCACAGGTTTCCATTCAATTAAACAAGTTATATCTAAAGTTCATCAAGAGAAATCCTGGTTATGATGGAAAGGTGAGTGTTATTATTATTATTATTATTATTATTATTATTATTATTATTATTATTATTATTATCATTATTAATTTGTTATCATTATATTATTACAGATTCATATTTTTATGTTGTTGACTTATTTTTATGGTCTTTGAGATTGCAGGTTTCCTTATATGGTCATTCATTGGGAAGTGTTCTTTCGTATGACATTTTATGTCATCAAGAGACTTTGACCTCACCATTTCCAATGGAGTGGATATATAAAGATCAGATCAAATACGAAAGCTGTACACCAAATGACATGCAGTCGTCTTCTAGCTGCCACGTGTCCTCCAATTCAGGAGGTCAGGATTTCAACACGATAATTAGTTCCGCTAAAAAGGGCATCACAAGGGTACAATCGGAATCTTCACTTCCTGAAATGCGAGTTGAAGAATCAAACCTTTCAGAAACGAGGAATCATAAGAAACATGGTAGTCTTCCATTGATAGAACAAGTTGCAGTTGGATCTGACCATGGTGAAGCTTTAGCTAGTGGCTCGAATCGAATTGATGAGGAAAATTGTCACAATGATGAAAATAACACAATTAAATCTTTAAGGGAAGAGGTAATGAAGTTTTGGGCATCCCATTTATGCAATCGTTTCTGTTTTTTTCGTTTTTCCTAATAAATATGACTTTCATTCTTGCAGATTGACATTTTGAATGCACGAATTAAAGACCTAGAAAAAGTTTCCAAAGGTTCATCATCTTGCAAAAATGACACGTTGAAGAGTTACACACCTCTTATAAAGTACACAAAATTGGAATTCGAGGTAACACCCATGAATTTGTTTATTTATTTATTTATTTTACATTGTTATTGCTTTTGTTTCTACTTGTAATTAAGATTCATGCCAGGTGGATACATTTTATGCGGTTGGGTCTCCTCTTGGTGTGTTTCTTGCCCTTCGTAATGTCCGTATAGGAATTGGTAAGTAATTTGCTTGTTTTTCTTTTTCATGAGTTGCATTTTACAAAAGTTGTCTTTTATTAATCTATTTTTTTTAATTTTCACAAAACTAAGATAAAGGTAAATGGCATAATGATTAATTTGAGATGTTGGGAACCATATTTTGTAATTTTATTTTTATTTTTTCAAGGTCAAGGAAAAGACTATTGGAACAATGAAAATGTACACGAAGAGATGCCATCATGTCGACAAATGTTCAACATTTTTCATCCTTTTGATCCGGTGGCATATAGGTATTTTTAATTCCTTTGCTTATAGTTTTATTAAGGTGAATTTTAGTAGTGATACATATATAACCCGTTTCTTTTATTTACAGAGTAGAACCACTTGTTTGTAAAGATTATGTCAATTCACGCCCAGTCATCATTCCATATCATAAAGGTGGAAAGAGGCTGCATATTGGATTCCAGGTAGGTCCCACTTTATATGACATAAAACTGAAACGGATGTTAATAAGACAAAAAGATGGGATAGGATCTCTTTCTCGATCTCTCATTTGTACAAAAGACATAAATGCCCTCCTAATCCTAATAAAAAATAGCCCTAAAAAGCTTGTTGATATAAATAATGGTGTAGGAATTTGTAGAAGATGTTGCATCAAGTTCTCAGGTGGTAATGGATCGCATGAGCTCAGTAAAGGTGTGTATTTTTTTCACCAATATTTTGTTCAATTTGTACATTTCAAATTTATATGTATATATATATTTTTTGACTTTTTAAACACTCTTACTTGAATTTTTGTTACAAACATATCATGTGTAGGGTAAAGTACTGGCACTATGTCAAGTGAAAGATGGTGATGTCGTTGGAGGTACTTCTTCAAGTATATATTTCTATTTTTAATAAATATATATATTTTATTATTTTACCTTCTTTTTCATTGAATATATTCCCTTTTTACCCTCAGTGGAGTCACCAGAAGAGCCCGAAGTAGTGGAGAGATCATATGGTTCGATAATGATGGAGAAGTTAACAGGGAGTGAAGATGGCCGAATTGATCATGTCCTTCAAGTATGCATTCTTACTAGGTTTTTTATTTGTTTTTATTTTTTTATTTATTTTTATTTTTTTAATAATAAAATGATTCAAAATGATAAAATATTTGTTAACTTCACTTTCTTTGGTTAAAATTGAATAATGCAGGACAAAACATTTCAGCATCAATACATATCCGCTGTGGGAGCACATACGTAAGTATACATCAACCATTAAATACTTGTGAAATTAAATGTTCTATTTTTTTTATAGAAAGATGTAGAAAATTGTAAAAAGTTAGGACTTAATAGGGAAAACTTTGTTTTCCTGACTTTCTCTATTAAGTCATGCTTTTTGCATTAAGTAAAAAAGAAACATCGTTTATTATTTTCCCCATTAAGTCATGTATAGGTAGAATGACGTAATGGGTAATGATGCCTAAAATATTTGTATGAATGAGACTAAATAACCATTTTATTTTTACCTTTACATTCTAAAAAACAAATTTCTCAATATTCATCAATTTTAAAAATATCAATCAATCTTAACATGAGAGGAATTTGCCATTGGGAGAAGAAAAGAAAGGCGTATAGTTAAAGGGTTAGTGTCATCGTATATTAAGTATATATTTTGGCTCCATTAAGATTATATTTAGCATGCTACAACTAGCTTAGTTTTCGAGTTTTTTTAGGTTGTCATGTTTGGAAAATCAAAAATTAACATATAAACAAGCTTTTTAAAAAGTTACTCCGACTATTGTTACAACGAGCTTTATTGAGCTTTTCTAAAATTCCCCCAAATATACACTTTGTTGGTTATCAAAAGCGCAATTATTCTACATAGCCTTTTATGTCATTTTACATATTTCAATTAGTCTTACCAAACATCATTTTTTATCAGCTAGCTTTTCAGCTAGTCTGTCAAACATAGTCTAAGTTATTTGTCCAAGATTAAGTGCTTAACCCATTAAGCTCATTAAGTGAAAGAAACATGCATCTTCATTAAGTCCATTAAGTAAAAAAGAAATTGTACTTTTGTTTGACTGTGACACATGATGCAGAAATTATTGGAGAGACCTTGACACTGCATTATTTATCTTAAAACATTTATACCGAGATGTACCAGAAGAACCCAAAGCACCAGATGGAGACACGAAAAATGAAGTAAAACAAGGAACCGGTGAATATTGGCATGGTTGGTATAATAATAATGAAGAGGGTACTGATGACGACCTTCCTTTAACATTTTCCAATACAAAATTTGTGAAAAAATTTACGAGAAGAGCCAAAAGCTTCATTGGTCCTTGATTTATTTATTTATTTATTTATTTTTTTTAAACAACTATCGTTCTTCTATAAATGTCACAAAAAATGTTATAGTTTGCAAGAATGAACGGTTTTGGACAAATGTAAATGTAAATAAAGTACAAAAACGTTCCTTCTTGAAAACTTTAGTGTTCTTTTTGAATTTTTTTACATGAACAATGCGATTGCTGTACTTTGTGCATAGATAATTGTATAGTTGGTAAGGATGATTTAAAATTTAGAGATGTACACATGATTGTACATAATTTAAATTAGAACACAATTTAAGAAATGGTATGTGCTAAAATTACACTTTGGACAAGTTTGTCCATGTTGGATTCTTTGTAGTTTCTACCCCTTTGATGCATTAGACAAAATTATAAAACGGGGTCTATTTCATGCGTTAAAGCTCGAAATTGCTAGATCAAGATTATTTTAAACAAGTCATAACTATTGAAACCTATGATTTTAAGTTATAAGTGGTTGGTTTTCAGTTGAATTATCTATGGTTAATAGATGATTTAGTTTTTCTTGTAATCGAACATGTATATTATATTAATTTGTTTGTTCAAAATAAGTTGATTAAATTTCAATAAATGAATTTGGATTCAACAAAGGCAAGGGCAATGTTTGGGATTGCTTGTTTAAGAAACCGTATGTCATTTTCTTTTTTTGGTAAAAATGTTCATACAACAGCTATAAGAATTATAATTTATGTTTCAAAAGTTAAAGTTGATTTCACTATCAGTATCTTAATCAATAGAGGTTATGATTAGATATAACACAACCAAGACATTGTGGTACTTGTTTATTTTGGTAGAATCTTTTGATTACCGTTTGTACTTAGGTTGGAGGGTGTGGTACCACCGAAACCGCACTCCCTTCCCGCCACATAAGCGTCATGTCATTTTTTACCACTCAAGTGTGGTTTCTTGTCACACCAAGGGAGTGATGTCATACATTTTTTCTGAACTTTTTTAATTTAATAAACTTTTTTAAAAACTATTTTAATTTAATAAAAATTTTTTTTAACTATTTTAATTTAATAAAACTTCCTTTTTTTTTTTAACTATTTTAATTTAATAAAACTTCTATTTTAATAAAAAAAACATAATTTTTCATTACTTGAAAATAAAAAAAAAAAACATTACATTGCATTACAAAAAAAAAAAAAAAAAAAACACGAAAACCACACACATGACATTTAAATAATCCTAGAAACTTAATAAACACAAATAAAATAACTAAAGCAAACTACATAAAGTCGTTCTCCGAGAACTCGTCTTCGGGGTCATCCGGTGGATCCAAATTAAGGTTAATGTTGTGAACCCCGTAAATGTGTTCCACCAAGTCATTGCGAAGATTGTGAAATGTTTCAATGCAACAAATCTCTGCTCTCCTATTTATATACTCTTCGCCACAAATTTCTATTGGTTGTGTCTCTGGTATGATTTCTTCCTTATCAAACGCAAATATCGCTTTTCCTTCGTCTTCAATAATCATGTTATGCAATATAAGACATGTATACATGATTTCTTGAAGATTTTCCTCGCCTAAATAAGCTCTTGATTTTTTCAATATGAACCACCGTTTCTTCAGAGCTTCAAAAGCACGCTCAACATCCTTCCTAGCTCTTTCTTGAGCTCTCTTAAATTTCTTTCGTCTAGAACCATGTGGAGATGTAAACGATTTAACAAACACAACATACTCATGATAGATTCCATCAACCAGATAATAACCATACTTATATGGTGTTCCACGCACTTGAAAAGGAGAATCTGGTGCGGATCCATCGTATATGTTGTTAAATATTGGTGAACGATTAAGAACGTTGATGTCGTTAATCGAACTAGGAGAACCAAAAAAAAGCATGCCAAATCCACATATCTTGTGATGCAACTGCTTCAAGTATGACCGTTGGGTGACTATGATCACCTCGGGTAAATTATTCATGATATGTTGTAGGACAATTTTCCCATGCCCAATGGAGACAATCTAAGCTTCCTAGCATTCCAGGAAACCCATGCACACTAGCATGATGAGCTTGCAGTTGCAGGATGTCATTAAATATAGGCTTACGTAAATATTTTGGACCATAAAACTAAATCACAGTTTTGTAGAAAAAATGGAGACTGTCTCGTGCGATCCTAGCAGACATCCTAAAACTTTCGTCTAACGCATCAGACGGAATGTCATATGCTAACTGACAAAGTAAGGCCGTGCATTTTTGTAAGGGAGTGAAACCGGGTGTACCTATAGCATTGTAGCGTTGTTGGAAAAAACTGCACTCCCTCGTTACATCTTCAACTATACATTCGAATAAACCTTTGAGCATTCTGAAGCGCCTACGAAAATAATACCCTTGGTAAGTGACATTCTCTGCAAAATAGTCTTGCACCAAACATTTGTTGGCTTCTTCACGGTTTCTGCAAATATATCTTCGCGTTCTCCGTTGAGAACTTGCAGTTGCGTTGTTACATACAACGTTGTATGTTGTTCCGCTATTTGAACATACGCAATAGCAATATCAAAAATAGTATGAAAATTTTCAGAAGATGAAGAACATGACCTTTTTGAGAGAGTGATGATTTTTTTGAGAGAGAGAAGAGATTGTTTTGTGAAAAAAATGAAGTTGATATGTATATATAGGAAAGAAAAAGCAAAAGCAAAAAATAAATAAATAAATAAATAAATAAATACTCAACAACCAGTCAATCCTTCCCAACTCTCCTCAACCAATCACAAAACACGGCCTTAAAGGACTGCACTGTGGCCAAAACCGTGCAAGACCGCGGTCTGGGGGCGGTGTATGCGGTCCGGGTGGCACGAACCGCGGTCCCAAACCGTAGCCACACCGTGCAGTCTTAGTCTTATAAAATATAAAACAATCTTAGGTAAAAAACTATAATGATCTTAGCAACTTGTTAGTGAAATTTTAAGTCTCAAGATAACATTTCAACGTTTTGTTAAAAAAAACTATAATGCAATAATTTATCAATGTATTTCTTTATTAAAAATAAATAAAGAAATAAAAATATATAAACCACCTAATAAATGAAATAATTTTCACACTGTCATACTTGCAAATTGCAAGTTGCAACTTCAAACTTTCAATTTGAAAATGATAATAGAGTAGTACAAGGAGCATGATAAATTGTACCTTGCTCAAATTTCCCTTGTGATAGTAACATATCACGAGAAACTTGTTTGGTTTTGGATTGGTTCGGAATCTGATGTGTGGTGCTCCTTTGATTTCCACGATCCTCTCCGATATCTTCTCTGCAAATCTAGGGACCCATTTCACTCTCTTCACTTGCCCAATTCAAACAAAGGGCATGCTCAAATAAACCCTCGTTAACCCCCCAGCAATTTTTTTTTAGATCTTTAATGGCGTCTATTTCGAGAATTGTTGCTAAAGATTGTAAATTTCAATCACGCGATGCTGTTCTTCAAAGACCCAGATACGATTTGCCCCCACGAGGGCTTCACAACCATGTTTGTATGTACTCGATCGGTTTTTATGCTAGTTTTCGAATCGGGTGTTCTTTTCTTCGTATCTTGTTTGCTTCTGAAGTACATTGGTTATCTATACACATCTATATGATACATGATTTTTCAAATTTTTGTGAAAATTTTCAGCTTTTGAAAGTAGGGTTCGTTCGTCTGGTGATGTTAAAAGTTTGGCTATTCAGAATAAACGATTCACTCCAGCGATTATTCAATCCTCAGCTTCGAGGTAGTGTTTATCTATATGTCTTTGATGAATTGTTTTCATTGTTTATTATGTGCTTGTAGTCTGAAATTATGAAGAAAGATTAGGACATAAGTCGCGACAAACACTATTGAATGTTAACAAAGAAAGATCAATGTTCATTCCAATCACTTTTTGATCTTAATTTTTACCAAATTGTGTCTAATTTTGTTGTTAGGAGTTCGAAGATTGTTTGCCAAGCAGCAACAAATGTTCCAGGAGAGGTTCCTTCTAATGCAACTACCTCAAGTGGAATGTCAACATATGAAAGAATAATTGAAACATTAACGACCCTTTTTCCTTTATGGGTATGTCAAAATAACATGTTCATCAATCATCACATTTTCAACATTTTGTAAGTGTACTTAATGGGGACATGACTTCATCTGGTAAGCTGTATACAAGTGTTTCTTTTTGACTTAATGCAGAAAGAACAACTTAACAGAGAAAGTCAATGAGGCTTTTCCCCTTTTAAGTATCTTTTAAATATCATTTATTCAAACAACAGTTAATGGGGGAAAAAAGCAATAATTTGTATTTGATGTCATTGACAGGTTATTATAGGTACAATAATTGGGATCTATAAGCCTTCAGCTGTAAGTATACCCTTGTGTCTACATTTTTTGGCCCTTATAATAAAATGTGACTTGATTAAATTGTTTGAGTGAAAAATCAAATGAAAATGTAGGTTACTTGGTTACAAACAGATCTTTTCACTGTTGGATTGGGTTTTCTCATGCTTTCAATGGGACTTACACTAACATTTGAGGACTTCAGACGCTGTTTAAGGAATCCATGGACTGTATGCTCTTCTTTCCTTTCCAAAAATAGCAACCTACTTTTATTTTTTCTTATCAAGGCATTATACTTTGAAAACTCTACCAATTATAGCATTGTACTTTCAATTTCATTTTTCTTATAGTGCATTAATTTGTTTCATATTTGGATGACATTGCTATAAATGGATATATTTTTCAAAATACATTGGTGTAATAGGAAGAAATGAAAGTAGGATGCTGTAGTAAATAAATCAATGGAAGTATGTTGCTATTTTGATTTTTTCATATTAAAGATGAATATGATTTTGGTCTTTCAGGTTGGTGTTGGGTTTCTTGCTCAATACTTGATCAAACCAATTTTGGGATTCTTGATTGCAATGGTATGTGACTATGCATATTACTTATTTACTTAATGCAGAAAGAACAGTTTACTAGAAAAATTCAGTACCTTTTTACAAATTTGCCCTCGTATATTTTCCCCTTCCGTTTCACTAAAT